TTGTCCACCTACTACGTTCCTTTGATTTCGGTATCCTGGACTTGCAAATCTAGAATGTTCCTTACACCCCGGAACCAATCTGGGTGTGAGAGCCGTGGGCTGTTGTGGGGTTGTAGAGAAATGTTTATTATAAAGTGTTTATTATACTGTGTTTAAACTGTATTTATGTTTTACATTGGTGGCCATGGCCTAGCTGTGAGAGATAGGTTGCCATGGTGACAAGGCAGAAGAGGAGGTGGGCGGAGCTTAAGGAGAAAAAGGTTTGAAAGTGACAGTTAATTTTCAGTCAGGAGGATGAGACCCTGAGAGGAAGAGCAGAGTCAAGAAAGGACTCTGGGAAAGTAGCAGAGTCAGATAGGACTCTGGAATAATAGTTTAGTCAGGAGGATGAGACCCTGAGAAGAGGAGCGGAGTCAGTTAGGGCTCTGTGTAGTGAAGCAGTGTAAATTCAGTTAGTTCTTAGCATTTGTGAATATTTCTTCAGCAAGGGAGCTGAAGGTGAAACCTCGTTAGATTGCTTGTGTTAAAAAGAATCTAACAGAGGGGGTTTTAGGGATCCCAGTAGTGAAAGACTGGAGATCAGTGGTTTGATCCGGTATAGGACAAACAGTGTGAATATTCACAACAGGGAACACTGAAATAATAAAGCACTTCACTGAAGAAGGAGTTTAAAAGATTGTAACATCAGAAGCCTGAATGTATCTCAACCAAGCCATATTGTAACCATCAAGCTTGTGCCAAGTTCAACATCTTAATATTGCAACAATTACGCTTTGTTAACAATAAACTTGTTCTCTTTGTATTTTAAACCTGCCTCCTCCATTGATTTTACGTTTGGTGCATTCCACTCTACCAAAGTTACCTCACAACGCAGATAGGGATAAACAGAGACTTTAATACCAGCGTCTCTATATATAATGGTGGCAGTTTAATCTGGCAGTCTCGGAACTTCCTTACAATTTATGGTGGCATTAGGTGGATTAACATACGTCCTTACATAATTTTGGTGGTCCCATTTAGGTGGGATTACACGTCTTTACAGGGGTGAAATAGCCAAGAAGCTACTTCCTATGGGGAAACGTCTGTTCGTCCACCTCTGGGCCTAATTCATTGNATATAGCAATAGTCAAAAAGGTAAAAAGCATTCAAATAGAGAAAAGGTGATGTCCACAAAATCAGCAAATAACCCAAATCCAAGTTAGGAGACAAATCAGTCCCAAAATCCAAGAAGCAAATCCATAGGAAGAAAGTCTTTCTTTTCCAAAGGTGGCAAATGCAAAAGTCCCTTGAAGAAACAGGAGCCAACTTGAATCAAATAATCTAAATGCAGTAGCTTGAAATCACAAACACCAGCTTACAAAAATCTCAGCATGTGCATGAATACAAAGCAAGATTATACATGATTCCCCGCATGAACAAGCAAGCATGAAGCAGGCATGAAAACCAAATGTTGGACTTACTGAAGAGTATAGACTCACAGGCCCTATATTTATTCAGAAAGCCATGGCAAAAGCATTCCCTTTCCCTTGGGAAACCTCTCCCTGACCCCCTGATTCTCTTAATCTTTCAGACCGTCTTCTGCCCCCTTCCAGGTATGATGATGATTGATTTGACTTCTCCTATCAAAGACTGGACTACTGCAATGCACTCTACGTGGGGCTGCCCTTGAAAACGGCCCAGAAATTTTAGATGAGCGGCAGCCAGGTTGTTAACTTGTGCTCCTTACAGGGAGAGGTCATCCCTCCTGTTCAAGGAGCTCCACTGACTGCCATTCATCTACCAGACCCAATTCAAGGTGCAGGTTCTTACCTACAAAGCCCTGAACGGTTTGGGACCCGCCTACCTGTGTGACCGCATCTCTGTATACGAACCCACACGATCTCTTCGTTCATCTGGAGAGGCCCTGCTCTCGATCCCACCAGCATCGCAGGCACGATTGGTGGGGATGAGAGAGAGGGCCTTTTCGGTAGTGGCCCCTCAACTCTGGAACTCACTCCCTAAGGACATCAGGCAGGCCTCAACCCTGGGGTCTTCAGGAGGAGCTTGAAGATGTGGTTGTGCGAGTGTGCCTTCCCGGAATAATGATCCCATAGCACTTTGTCCCTCCAAAGCACTTTATACTTTTAGGTCTGCTCGTATGTCTTCCACAAACGCCACTATCGCCTTTTCGTCCATGCCTCAGCACTTTTCCAATTTTAATTTTTACATTTGGCCTTCCCACAATTTTTAATTGTATGTTGTCTTATTGATAATGTTATATGTTTATCGTTTATGTTTTATTTTAATTGCTTGTATTGTTGTATTATTGCCTGCATTGTTGTGTTTGGGCTTGGCCTCATGTAAGCCGCACCGAGTCCCTTGGGGAGATGGTATCAGGGTACTAATAAAGTGTTGTTGTTGTTGTTGTTATTATTATTAAGAGTGTCTGGTCGTCCCTCAGCTTGCCAATTAGTACATTCCTTTCACTATCACTATCTGGCCTTGGCCGTTCAACCTTTTCCTCGGCCCCTTTTTCTGTTAGCATCGAAGCATCTTTGCCTTGGGAACCAACGATCCCAGAATCCTCTGGTTCACTCTGGCTAGAACCAGATACTGTGTCAAAGAAGAGTTCAGATTCAGAGCCTCAAGAGAAACAATGTTTGTTCATCTTGTCAGGCAGCCCATCTAAAGATTACTTAGAAACCATTTCTATTAACAACAAAGACATGAAAGGACTTCGAGATACAGGCTCTGAAGTATGTATAGTGCATCCAGAAATAATACCTCAGGAATTTCAGCGGCCTACCTCTGAAATAAGATTAAAAGGTTTAGGACCTGCGATACCAACAGCAGTAGTGACTTTGCCAATAGAATATGGAGGATGGAAGGGTATGTGGGATTTTGCAGTCAGTCCTGACATACCATACAGATGTTTAATTGGAAATGATTTGGCTAAGAAGATTGAAAGCTGGAGGATGACGTGTGAAGAGGAAGAATATAACAACGAAAGCCATGATCAAAAAGCCATGTGTTTTGCCATACAACAGGATGGGGAGGAGAGTCCGGAATCCAGCGCTACGGTTGCTGAGCTTGTTAAGAAGACGGGAGGAATTGAAGAAATTCGGCAGGAACAAGGAGCCGATGAATCTCTTAAACCTCTATTCGCTTTGGCTCAAAACCCCACAATATTGGCAAAAGAACAGCCCTCCGAGTTTGTGTTAAAGAATGGTGTTTTATATAGAAAAACCAGGAATGTGGAGTCAACAGAAGAATCAGTGACAAGTAGTCAAATTGTAGTGCCTCAAAGTTTTAGAGAACAGCTGATGAGGGTGGCACACGAAAACCCTCAAGGTGGACATTTGGGTGTGAGGAAAACCACAAAGAGAATCACTAAGAACTTTTATTGGCCTGGCGTGTTCCAGAAGATCAAAGAGTTTTGCCAGTCTTGTGACATCTGCCAAAGATTGAGTACTGGAAGGGATAAAATTAAAGCTCCTATGATCCCTATGCCAATAATTGGAGAACCATTTTACAGAGTGGGCATTGACATAGTGGGTCCTCTTTGTAAACCAAGCAGACGTGGTTACCGATACATTTTAACCATGATTGACTACGCCACAAGATATCCAGAGGCTGTAGCTCTAACTAACATCGAGACAACAACGATTGCAAATGCACTGTTATCCATTTGGGGAAGAACTGGTTATCCTAGAGAATTGGTTTCAGATTTGGGAACCCAATTCACTTCCAGACTTATGTCGAAATTGCTTGAGTTATGTGGTATCAGACACCTGACTTCAACAGCTTATCATCCACAGACAAATGGACTAGTTGAAAATATGAACAAGACTTTAGTCAAAATGATAAAGTCTTACAGTCAAGAGAAGCCATACGACTGGGACGTCAAATTGCAACAACTGTTATTCGCCTACAGGACCGTCCCTCATGACAGTACTGGCTACAGTCCATTTGAATTGCTATATGGAAGGAAAGCTCATGGTCCATTAGACCTGATAAAGGAATATTGGGAGGAAAGTCCGGCAACAGATCCAGTTCCAGTGTCGGAGTATTTAAAGGATCTTCAATCAACAATGCAACTGGCTAGGGACATTGCACAAGAACATTTGCTTGCGGCTCAGCAGAGACAAAAAGACTATTATGATTCTACTGCTAAACCAAAGATCTTCAACATCGGAGATGAAGTTTTATTTTTATCTCCCAACAAAACCAACAAACTTCAATTGGATTGGTCGGGACCCTGGAAGATCATCAGAAAACACAACCAAATAAACTATGATATTTATGATGAACATTCCAATGTAGAAAGAAGAGTCCATATAAACATGTTAAAGCCTTATGTTGAAAGGTCTGCTAATGTATGTTTTGTTGTTTCGGAGGAAGAATCCGGTCCCTTTTCTTTTTGGGAGGGTGATCGTGAACAGTACAAAAATTTGGATCGGGTAGAAATGAACATAGAATTGTCCCAACCACAGAGAAGAGAGGTTGTGAAAGTTTTGAGTAAATATAAAGACATATTTTCAGATTTGCCAGGAAAGGTCCAGGGAGTCCAGCATCAAATAAACACCGGTGATGCAACTCCCATAGTATCTCCACCCTACAGGGTCACGGGGAGAATTAATGAGTGTATTGAAAAGGAGATTAAAGAAATGTTGGACCTAGGTATTATTGTTCCATCAGTTAGCTCTTGGGCTTCACCCATAGTGTTGGTACAGAAGCCAGACAAGACAATTAGATTTTGCGTGGATTATAGGCGGTTAAATAAAGTAACCCAGACAGATACTTACCCTATGCCACGTTTAGACGATCTGCTAGAAAGGATGGGGAAGGCCAACTTTATTAGTAGTATAGATCTGACTAAAGGATTCTGGCAAGTGCCCATGGCACCACAGGATCGACACAAAACCGCCTTCCGAACCCAAAGTCGGTTATTTGAATTTTCTGTCCTCCCTTTTGGGCTAAAAAATAGCCCAGCCACATTTCAGAGATTAGTAGACAGTGTTTTAAGTGGGCTGGGGTCTTTTTGCGTGGCCTATATCGATGATATAGGGATTTTCAGCGATTCCTGGGAAGCTCACCTTGAACATTTGGATCTGGTGTTAAGCAGGTTGAGAGAAGCAGGGTTAACTATTAAGGCTTCTAAGTGTAAGATAGGATACAATGTTACTAAGTATTTAGGACATTTAGTGGGAGGAGGTCATATTCGACCTGACCCTACTAAAGTGGCAGTTATTCACCAGTGGCCAGTGCCCAAAACGAAAAAACAGGTTAGGGCATTCCTTGGATTGGCTGGATACTATCGCAAATTTATCCCATCTTTTAGTAATTTGGCGGCCCCTCTTTCGGATCTTACCAAAAAGAAGAACCCGAACCAGGTAATTTGGACTCCAAATTGTCAAACTGCCATGGATCAATTGAAGAAATCAATTACATCGGAAAGTTTCAGGTTTCAAGCACTTTATTAGGGAAAGATACAAAGTCAAAGGAGAGGGGAAGTTACCTGGAGTTGCAGGCATTCCTGGTCTTGGAGCTAGCAGCTGGGGCGCATTCCATCTGCTGGCCTCAAAGCTTGGCCCAGGAACTGCGGAACTCCCTGCTGCAGTTCACACTAATGTAAAGGCGGGGCTACAAGATGCGCTCGCCGTCAGGAGGAAGAAAGAAGAACTCTTCTCTGTTTCCATTGACCACCTTCGTTACCATTGAATGGCCTTGCAGGTCCAAAGCCTGGCTGCTTCCTGCCTGGCTTCCCACAGTTATATTAACCCCATTTGCCTGCTTTCCCACAGGCCTCACCCCTCCGAGGATGCCTGCCATAGAGAGGTGTGGGCGGGAATGCTTCTGGAACATGGCCACGCAGCCCGGAAGACTCACAGCAACACAGAGATTCCGGCCATGAAAGCCTTCAGCTACAAAATGCAGAATATCAATAGTTGTTAGTGTGAAATCTCAGTGAATGCCAAACCCAGAGACTCCGTGGCCAGGACTGGGATTTCCTCTGGATGAGAAGAGGCCTCTCCCTTTCCAGGAGACCTTCTCTCGTGGCCTGGCCAGGCTCTGAGTGCTCAGGAGGCGAGGAAGGGGATGCGGGGAGAGACCCAGGGCACAGAGTTCCACCATTTGGAAGCCCCCGAAAGCCTCAGGAGATACCTGGCAAGGGAACCCCAAACCTTTCACAAATTTATTGAATTATATTTTGGGGTGTGCTGTATTCCTAGTGTCTCAAATGTATGGTGAAGGCCCCTGGTCCCCTTCCCTTCTATGTACATCCAACCCTGGGAACGGAGAGTCCTCTACCCTCAGTAAACCTCCCTCTAGCGATCTCCCAGCCTAGACATGGAATCCCTCTTGTGTGAGAGTGACAGATAGACAATCCCTTTATCAGTTGGGCTGTTTTGCACTCTTTACCTGGCCAGGTGTGTCCAGAGGTCTAGGATTCCCACAGATGCAAAGGCTAAGCAAAGGTGAATAAATGAGCCTTTTGAGTGGATACCCGGCCCTCTGGCTCTGTGGCATGATCACCTTTTGTGTTCTGTGCCTGGCACTGTTGCCTTCTTCGGAATGAGACATTAAGTCAATCAGGGAATCACCTGCACACCCAC